TTTATACTTTAAGTAAATTTACAAGCCTGTACTTTGTTACTTTTACTTGAGTAAAGAAGTTTAATCAGTACTTCCACTTTTACCAGAGTATTTTTTGACACAAGTATCTGTACTTTTACTCAAGTACGGAAAATGAGTACTTTTGCCATCTCTGGTGAGCGGCCATCTGCTGAGGCCGACTTGGGTTCAAGGAGACAGAAGCAGAGATGCAAAAGGAAACTGTCAACCAGCGCCACAGGCGGCCAGGCAGACGAGCTCCGAGCCAGCTCCCATGTCAGAGGATGAAGAGAGCACATCCAGCCAGTCACAGTCAGAGAAACAGGACTACACTGGAAAAAACAAGCCGATATCCAACATCTATAAACAAATTTCATTATTTAAATATGAAATATGTCATTATGGACATTTTACTTTTATATAAAACTTCTCACCATAAAATTTCTCTGCAGCTTGTTTTAATTCTCGATAAACTGAATCATATATTATAAATACATTTGAAGCTCTAAATTATGTAGTTAGTTAATGTTGTTGGGACACTGGAAAAATGATCTAGAAATAATTAAAAGTTTCTTAAATTAAGTGTATTTACCCTTAATTTGAGTAGGTAAATTAGATAGTTTGCCAATGGAATGGAAATTTCTACAAATGCACTTATTTAAAGAAAAAAACGACTTATCTAGATTTCGATTTTTTTCCAGTGGAGGAGGTTCAGCTCTGCTACATGTTGGTGTTATGATGAGGCAAATGTCAATAACAGTAACCCTGATGTTAAATGGACTCCCAACATGTCTGTGTTGCTCCAGGTAAGCAGGGCCAGTGCGTGTACCGCGGGCTGACCATGTTCGACCTGGCCGTCTGGTCTCCGTCGCCGTGTGTGACGTGTCTGTGCAGTGAAGGACGGGTGGTGTGTGATGAGATGAGCTGTCCCAGAATGCACTGCCCGTCCCCCGTCACCCCTGCAGGGCGGTGCTGCCCCGTCTGCATGGAGCCAGGTAGAAACACAACATGTGAGAGCGCCATGGTGCAGCATCCAGAGGAACCAGAGATGAATAGTGTTTGAACTAATTTCACTTTTAGCATCACAGATGTTTTTTTTATTTTTGGATCTGACTGTAAATCTCAGAAATCTGGAGTTGGTTCCAGTTTCCATCTCTGAGGCCTCAGCATGCTGCTTCCTGTTTACACCATGGCTTTAAAAATGTGCTCCACACATTTTGGACCAGCTAGCGCACATGTTGTGGATGTGTTCAACATGTTTGTATGTACATCTATGTTGGGGGTTTGCATCAGATAAGGTCAGACATAAAACAGAAAGTTTACAGCTTTAGGCAGTGGGTGGAGGAAACTGGTGTAATTGATGACGTCTCTTTATGAAACCCGGGAGAAAATGATCCGTCTCTTCATCCTGTTTTATTCAGATTTTCCTCCAAGCAGCCAGGCTTTCCTGCTCTCTCTTAAAAAGGATGAGATCAACATTTCTTCAGGCTTTCTGAAGGTCATATGGAGTAACACATTTTTTTTCCCCTCAACATGTAAAAAAGATGAACAGTATCTGAATGTTGCATCTTTTAAGGGATAATTTAGATTCTGAGGTTCTGATCCTGAATTTCTGAGCAGTCAAAGTGCCTCCAGGGATAAATGCAAACAATTAAACTAGTTTAAATATCTCCTGCTGGACGGAGAACAGCCAGGATTAAAGCCAACTCCTTCTCTGCTTTACTAACAGAAGGAGTGGAACAATATCTGGATTAGGTGATTTTAAAATGCTGCTTCTCATAAAAATGGTTCTAACAAATAATGACTCAGGTTCTCTGGCAGAGATATATTTGTATGTTAATCTTTTTACAACTTTTCCTCTTTTTTTAAATTTTGTGCAATTGATTTGATATTGTTTCTTATTTTCAAAACTTTTACCAAAGTAAATTTAAGAATGATAAATTAAATTTAATTCTTTCATATTGAAAATCTTTCATTACTATATTGCTAATTTTACATGGTCAGTTTAGGACATTTAGTCAATAGGTATGGCTAAAAATGATACAACCACCTATGATTTAAAATATATTCCAAAATACATGTTTTATGTCTTGCAGGATAATTGCTAAGAATGTGTTGACAAAATGAAACTAAATGTTAAAGTAATATTCTTTTAAGTCATAATATTTTTTTAAATTTGCTTTTTTCATTTACATTAATTTCGATAATTGTTTGCATCCAATAGAAGAAAATGTAGCCACCCTCTGTCTTTTTTTTTTTTTTTGCGAAAGTTTCATTTTTTGTATTAAAACACAGAAGACAGAAATAAATACAATTCTTTATTAGAATAAAGCCATATTTATATGAAAGCAAAGTGGTAATAATAGGAGACGGAAAATGTGTCCTAAAAAGAGGTTTTATAGAGATATTAAGATTTGAGTGAAATGATCAACTCAACTGGACCACAGCCTGAGAAGAGCATTTAAACCAAGAAGACAGGCTGTTCTTTCTTGGAAGAGGTAACATAAAAATAGGCAACCATGAAACACCCAAATAAGGCTTTGACCTTGCAGATGAGAACTGTCCATCTATTGGCTGCAATGGTTGCTAGGCAATGATATCAATTATAGCCATTAGGAGAGAGAAAACAGGGAAGAGGGAAGTCAGACTTTGGGAGGTAGTTTAATTTTTGCAGACAGCAATTCTATTTGCAGGAAGCATTGAATCTGTTCCCAAAAACAAAGATTTTGAGGGAGAGAAGAAAATAATCAGAAGTTCTAAAAGCAAAAACTATGAGTTTCAACTGGAAAAACAATAAAATCCTGCTAAAGAATAAAAGTGTGGGTCTTTAGCTGCTTCTAAGAGTCCAGATACCACTGCCATCAAACATTACGTGACAAATGTTATACATTAAAATCTATACAAATGTCCAGAAAAAACACATGAATAAGAAATAAATCAATAGAAATCTCTACCAAAAAATGCCCCATATAAAGTAAAATATAAATAAAAGTATTAGAACTGAAATAAAAGCATAACAGGGTTTATAACGACTGAACACTCCTGTGGAATAGAATTAACCTGCTAAATAAAAATGCACAGAATAAGAAAACCCCACCCCCTGCAAACAAATGGGATTTTCCACACTCAGGGGTCAAAGTTCATGCAGCCTGTGACATGATCCCAGTTTGTTACTGGGTAATTATCAAGCTGATCCCAACACACATGGCCCGGTCAGCTTCATCAGTGTGCTCTTATTTTGCAATATCTACAAAATAAGAGCACACTGATAAAGCTGACCGGGTCATGTGTGTTGTGCTCTTATTTTGTAATATCTACAGCCTGACCACTTCCTGTTAGGGTCTGAAGCAACAAACAGCATAAAGTGGCAGAAGGAGCAGGACGCTGAGAGAAAACAGCATTTAGAGAATATTAAAAAAAAGGCCATTTCAGATAATTTGCTGCTGCATGAAATTTAACCCTAAAGTGATTTATAAATAACTGAACTGAGAGTAAAATTGTAGAAATTATATATTTGCATAAATCTAAACACAAGGCTGGAATCGTTAACTAACTTAAAGCTAAAGCTTTAAACTGGGATGTGTCCATAAAATTTATCTGTTTTTGATACTAACTTCAAACATTTTTTCATTAGTATTAGTATATTAGTTTTAGTGAATCGTTTGTTCTTTTTGATAATGAAGTGTCTTGTTATTCACTTCAAAATTCAATTCAATTCAAAAATACTTTATTAATCTCAAAGGGGTTTTAAAGCTGAATAAAATAAAAAAAAGGATATATTATTATTCAGTGTGAATTCAGTAATACAGGCAAATGGATAAAACCTTACGATGTGGCCATTTATGCCAAATTGTTGTAATTTTTACCAATTTAGTTTTCTTCTTTTGGCAGGCACAATATATTTAAGTTAATTTAGAACCAACATTTGTAATTTATTTCTTAAATTTGGAATTGTTTAGATTACGTTGTTAATTATTAGAACCTCCTATTAATTTGAGTCATTAAGAACACAGCGAGCGCTTGTGGATTTTTTTGGTTATATGCAGATGGGAGGTTTTGTAAACTGATTTTTTGACCACTTTTTTAGAGCTTCAAACATTAAATTGACATTATTTTTCATTTTGACTAAGTTGCAAGACATTTTTCGGTAAATATGGTATTTATTTTGTCAAGTTGTAAGTGTGTACAAAGCCAAGAACCACCTGAAATTTTGGTATTTTTTTGGAACAGAAGGTTGCGACACCTTAAAACTAAGGTAAGAGTCGGAAAAATACAGAAAAAATCCTGTACTTGCGTAGTCATTATTAGATAGTTTCCCAGAAGAGAAAGAAAAACAAAACAAACATTTCTCCAAAGACAATTGCTCTGTTTTCCACCCTATTAAAAACCTGGAGGATCCTGTAATAAAATTTCAGACGTTCCCAGAATTTTCCAGATTCCATGAACTGGTGTTATTGCATTTATTATCTTTAAGAAAATGAATGAATGTTTTAATATCAAAGTGCATAAAGGTCCAGTTTAAACACCTTCACAAAGCTTGACGTTCAGCGATTGAGCTTAGGTACCTCTGTCGTTTGGTTCTGAGCTCAAACTGAGAGTCAGCAGAGCTGCTCCAGAGCGCGGCTGCTTGGAGGATCTCAGTCCAGATCATCTCCAAGCTTAGAGGCAGATGTTTCAGGAGGGGATCTAACGGCTCGGTGGGTTTGGTGCTGACCGGTCTACAGCAGCACTTTGCTCTGTAGCTTCAACCAGCTGGTCTGGAATCTGTCTGCAGCACTAACACAAACCCGTCTGTGTCCATCTGTCCAACTGTCTCCCTGCCTCTCTGTCCTTCATACCATCTCCTGTAGTTTCCTTCTTACTCCCACCTCTCTCCTCTTTATCTCCATTTCTCTCTTTCCTCTCTCTTTCTCTCCTTCCCTGCTCCCTGATTGGCTGCCCCGTGGCACCATGCACCCTAAGACTCCGAGTTCAGCCTTGAACTTTCTGGTGACTCCTCAGTTCCCAGTGACCCCAGTGAGCCCATCATCCCGCTGACCCAGGAGGAGATCCAGAGCATCCTTTGGCGGGAGGAAGAGGAGCACCGTGAGGAGGAGGAGCGTCTGAGGAAGAAGGATGAGGCCAGGAAGAAGAGAAGAGAGGAGGCCCTGAGGCTGCAGCTAAAGAAAGAAGAGGAGGAGTGGAGGAGGCAGGAAGAAGAGGAGGAGAGACGCCAAGAGGAAGAGAGAAGAAGAGAGCAGGAAAGAAGGATGGAAGAGGAAAGAAGAAGGCAGCAGGAAGAGGAGCAACAGAGGGAGGCAAAGGAGGAGGTGGAGGTGTGGCTGA